CCAAAGTAGGCATCAAAAGCCTTGATTTTGTGGCCTTATCTACGTATTCATATCCATTAGCTAATTTTCCTTACAAGTATACTTACACCATTCAGACGCGAAATCCCAAAACAACAGTTTGAAAATCAAGTCAACGTCTATTCTCATCGGACAACCTCCAGTGAAGCACAGGATTGTTAGTAAACAAAACTCTAGGCGGATCACCAAAGCTTACCTTTTAAACAAAACCGGAAATAGCCTTTAAGTAAGGATTATGAGTAAAACAATAAACTTCAATTCGAGCAAAGTTAGTTCATGGCGGGAGCAGATCATAAGGTACTTTTTATCTGTGATCTTAGTTTATTTATGAAAACCCTTTATCAATCTACAAATTATAACCATTATTCTATCTATTATACAACCCATATACCCGCCATTCAGGGGCTCATGGGGCGCGAAGGACCTCCAGGCCCTTCTGGAAAACGGGGCGAGGATGGAGAGCCGGGACCAGCTGGCCCTCCAGGGCCGATGGGAGCTACAGGAGCGACTGGGGCAACCGGAGATCCTGGAATGGAGGGCGAGCGAGGACCCTTGGGGCCAAGGGTAAGAAGAATGTCTGATTATTTTCCATAATGCGTCAAATGTACTGGGTGAGGAATAAGCGATTGGCAAGGCTTTGCATAAAAAAAGCTAGCTTTTAATTGCTTTACTGAGCATATAAAACTATTATGCTCTTAAAGGAAGCTAAGTAAATGAAAAACTTGCATTCATTTGATTTTCCAAATGATGTTGTCGAACTATACCGAATATTTGACGATGGACCCTGGAGGTTACAGTAATGCTGTGTTTCAGCTATTCTCTCTACTCAGCAGCTCTTTTCCTAAATAATATCTCAAGGTTTAGTTTATTCTTTACCAGCTAGACTTTTTTGTGTGATGATAAGTGCTAAGCTAGCCAGTTTCGGATAATTAAAGATGTATCATCGGGAATAAAAAATGTGTCTATGGAGTAGCTAACCTATGATTTTTATGTGTGGCTGAACTTGCTCCTGGGTTATGAAGGAAGCCCGAGTCTAAGTATTGGTTACCGGTAGTAAGTTTATTGACAATCAGATGGAGTGAGTCAAATGTGGGGAGAGAGATTAAGGATTTTTCTTCACTCGTGTGCAAGGCCTATTGTGAAGGATGATATATTCATTATCAGCTGACTGTGATGATTTATCATATAAAGGGGTTTGTAAGAAGTCTATAGATGTGGAAGTCGAATTTGGGCAAAGGATATAAGCTAGTCTATTAAATAAGTGTGAGTCACTACCATCTTTCTGGTATATATTTACCTTTAATAACGTTTTTAGGGTCCTCGAGGAGATCCTGGCAAAGATGGACCACCAGGAAAGGATGGAGCTCAGGGTTCAAAAGGAGAGCGTGGTCCTGAGGGACCTCCTGGACCTAAGGGAGCACAAGGTTTCAACGGACTGGATGGACCGGTTGGACAACAAGGGTTGATTGGTCCAAAAGGGGACTTTGGTCCAGATGGAGAACTTGGAGATCTTGGGGACAAAGGCTTTCAGGGTGATACTGGCCCTCTTGGATCGATAGGACTCGAAGGTAAGTGCATGACCAGATTTTGGACGTAGAGATAGTAGAATACTTGCAGCCTAAGAATAGATTGGTAAAAAGCCGAATTTATAAACGAAAACTATGGCGATATTATTTACTCAGCGTTTTCTCATTCCATTTTAAGGATAGAAAAATCTGCTAAATTACTACTTCTTATCTTTTTCCGAATTGAGTTTCTAATTCCATCATTTGTGGTAGCCTCAAGGAATAAAGGCGTTAATTTCACTAACACTTTTCATTGTTCACAGAGTATCAACTATTTCGCTAGCACCATAAACTAAGAAACATAGTATAGTTCTGAAACATTAAGCAAATTTTCTGTGTTGATTTATTTTATTGGATATACCAAAGAATGCTCAATAAGAAATCTTATACAGAAAATTTGCCCGATCTTGTAATATCGATTAACGTTTCTGTGGGGATATTTTCAGATCTATATAGAATTATGGGATGTATTTATCCTATTTCGTTTAAAGTGATGAAGGTCTGATGGTTCAATTTAAAAAAGGCGCCTCGCGCTATTTACAGCTCAAATCATATTCGTTAATAAAATAAAATAAAGTTATATAGAGTTTATGCTGTTTTATAAACCTATTAGACCAAAAATTATTTTGTTGGTATTTTTTATACCGTTTTTGGCATCGTTGAATATGAGCCAAACCTGAACATGCTCTCTAACTTGCAGAATAAGCAAAGAGTTTGATCCAATGAGGCATTAATTCTCATCGTACATTACCATTCGCATATAGTCAATATCCAGTGGAAGCAACCTCGGATAAATAGCAATAATGTATGTCCTTAACTATTAACTAGAATACTCTTGACATTTAAACATTTTATGAAGCGATTACAGCTGATTAAAAAAGTATTGCTCGATTTTTGTCAGATACTATCACAAATAAATTTGTTACACAGGGAGTAAACTAAATTCCTTACTATACCTCAAAAATAATTTTGATTTACTATTTCATATACGAGCAGCCTGATATTATTCCGTAAAATACATAATGAAAAAACTAAAATAATAGTGCTATTTAATTTGGAGTATCTTACTAAAGTTTTACAGTTTATAAAAAAGAAGATCGTTTTATGACCAAACAAAGGGATAAGAGAGATCAACAAGAAATGGAATTGGGCCATGAGAAAAGAATGAAAAGGCCTTCAAGCAGACACACTGTAACTCTCCTGCGCTATTCTAAGCAAAATATTCATTTTTACATCATTATTTTATTTGTTAGCGGAACAGTAAAGTTAAGCGCATATGAGGGTCGGTGCCAAATTACAGTATCAGTTATTTTTACAGTGAATGTACTTGCTGCACTAAGTTGATATGTGTTGTTAAGTATACTATATGCTTTGACATAACATCATTGAGTTCATCCTCAAAAATATTTCAAATAAAATAGATTATTATTAAATATTTCTTATGATCAGCATTGATACGCAATTTTAGTTTATGCTTTTCTATATATGTTAACAAACAGCCTAATATATATCAGTCTGAGAATCAAGTTGGAGTACCGTTCATTTCATTTGAAGAGGAAAGTAAAAAGGATTCGTAAGTTGTCCACAACATGAGCTAGAATGTAATTACTTTGGAGAAATGAATATAGATCTGTCCGAATAGCAGTTAGTCGAAACCCTTGCTGACATTTCGTCCATTATGGGATGGAAATCGACAGGGCAGGGCACCAAACTTAACGGTAGTTCACCAAAACACTATGACAAGAAATGTGGCCAGCTACAGAAATACCTACTTCTTATAGTCCAAATTGGTCCAGGTAATGGGCACTTCATGATTAAGTTGAATATTCTATGCTTTGACTAAATGTTTGTTGAAGTGAAATAATGAATTGAGATGAGATAAGATGAGATAGGATGAGAAAAGATGAGGTCAGATTAGATAAATGGTTTGAGATGAGATTAGTTGAGATGAGATGAGATGAGATGGGATGAAATGAATACATCGCATATTACTGATTTACTGTTAATCTCGAAACTCTACTCAAATACGAAAAATATCTAACGTACTCGATTCTTATAGCAAATATACGTTTGCTTCATCGACACTTCCACAAAAGATCATGATATGTC